CCTCCTCCCTTGTGTGTATAATGAGACGTAGCTACACGACCTGCGATTACAAACAAAGAAGCTGAGAATTTTTTAGGCGGGAATTTCATATAATAATTAGCATATTATGCAAATAAATGGGTTTTCAGACAAGCAAAAGGAGATGCAGTTACACGACCTAGGATTAAAAACACACGTGTACAGTAGCTAAGGATTTGTCTGTGAAACACAGGAAGACAAAGCTCTGATCAAACAGCAACTCATGTACAATGTCTAAATTTGCTTTGTTTGCTTTTGTTTTTTAACATTGCGTTTCTAAGCAACCAATAAGGGCTGATATTCTCGTCACTAGTTAACAACTTTTTTGCCCCTTTCGTTTTGCAACACTGCGTTTCTAAGCAACCATCTCTTCTTATTGTTGTCACTTAGCAACTTTATCTTTTTCCCTGTCTCTCAGCAACTCGTTTTCTAACACTGCGTTCCTGTTGTCACTTAGCAACGCTATCAGCTCCCTTGTCTCTTAGCAACTCGTTTTTCTAACAGCGTTTCTAAGCAATCATTCATAATGTCACATAGCAACGTTATCTTTTCTCCCTTGTCTCTTAACAACACGTTTCCTAACACCGTTTCCAGGCAACCACCTTCTAATGATCTCGTCACTATCTAGACGGGAAGCAAGAGTTGTGTAGTGGTAGTACTTTATTCTCATCTCATCTCTGGGGACTCAAGATTGATTCCTGAACTCTCCAACACATGATAGTAGAGTTTGTTCCGTCTCTCCCTTGAGTCGAGAGTTTTTCTCCAGGCTCTCTAGTTTTCCTCCCTCCGCAAAATCTAGCAAGCTAAATTCTAATTTGTTCTTAGTTGTCTGACTTCAATCAGCCCATATGATGATCGAAGACCTCAATAATATTTCAAAGTTTTTTAACATAAGAGTAAAAGCATAATCAAATCAAAGTTTAGCTTTCTTTTACCTGAGTAAACAAGAAAAGTGTGTGATTTGATGCTCGTCCGACATCGTGTTGTTCCCCACCGCGTGTACACTGTAGTTCTACGGCTCATTTTTATGTTAGTTGTTGTTTGTTCCTTTTTTTGTTCAGCTTGTTCACCGTTGCTGCTGCTGCACGCCGTTCGGTTGTCTCGTCCCGAAGCCTCTTGTTTCGGTTCTTTTATTCCCTTATTATTCTCTATTCCTTCGATAGATAATTGGAAATAATTAACAAATATTCAATATGCATATGGGGAGTTGTTTTAAAGGCTGGTAATGATATTCATGACATTTATTTAGTAGCACATGATGGGCAGTGTTTGCCTGTCATTATAGGCTGGTATTGAGATTCATGAGATTCATTCAGCTGATTGATACCAAGCAATAGAATACTCTCTGGTTGATAGCACATGACGGGCAGTGTTTGCCTGTCATTATAGGCTGGTAATGAGATTAATGAGATTCATTCAGCTGATTGATACCAAGCAATAGAATACTCTCTGGTTGATAGCACATGAAGGGCAGTGCTTGCCTGTCATTGTAGGCTGGTAATGAGATTCATTCAGCTGATTGATACCAAGCAATAGAATGCTCTCTGGTTGATAGCAAATGACGGGCAGTGTTTGCCTGTCATTGTAGGCTGGTAATGAGATTCATGAGATTCATTCAGCTCATTGATACCAAGCAATACCGTCTGCTTTGTATGACGGTTGCCTACGGTTGGCTACATAGAGGTTGCCTACATTATCCATGACAAAAACAAAATCCATGATAATGGTAGCTATGACAACAGGACTGAATATCTCACCTGGTGTTATATTGAAATGCATACATGGCTGTCCTCCACTGTCGTCCGTTTTGTTGAGCGAAAGAAGGAGACTGCAGAAGGTAAATAAAAAGGTGAAGCGAAAAGTAAAACTGTGTTAAGATGTCTATTATATAAAATTATAATATCAATGATGATGGTGATGGTGATGACGACGAATCCCCATCAAATTGAATTGGTACGAGGCGAATGACCGGCACCGCGACTTATTAATGGCTTCTCTAACGAACCAATCACAGGGCGAGAAAACACATCCAATCACAGTGCTGCAATACAGGAAGCCATTTGAGTGTCGAATAGCATACGCTTTGAACTCGAACTCTTTTCAAAATCTTCTTAAAAACTTCAAATATCGATTGCTTTTAAATTTTAAAAACTATTATATTGGGGAATTCACATAAAAAATGCGGGGGGAAATGTATAACTCACTAACTAAAAAAAGCAGCGAAAAAGTTATGAATAAAACACAAAATAGATCGAGAAGGAATATCTTCCACGAACTGATCGAACAAAGAAAGTACAACACTAATACGCCGCATCGATATATGACGAACAATTTGAATAGTTATGGCAACATAATTTGGGTTTAAATATTTTAGCTGTTTGCTGGATTTTATTCGCAAAAATTAAGAGGATTTTTTTTTCGGTCGAGTTTTGTCTATTGTTTATACGAAACTATTATAAAACATGAAATAGCCCGAAGAAAATTAATTTAAAATATGAGGAATTTTGCTAATATGTTGACATGTTTTCAATTCTTGTAAAACATGTTTATGAAGAGCTACCAAAACCTGGAAGATATTTACGTTAAGTACATAAATAAATGATAATAATAACGAAAACAGTGCACGTTTTTGTGGAGGATTTTTGCATCAATTGAAAATAAGAATTGTATTATTAATACAAAACATATTACAATTAAATACAAAATTTATCTACTCYGGCAATCTTTAAAAAATAGCAAAAGGAAACAAAAAGTTAAAGTCTTTTCCTTTTTGTACGAGCAGCATTTTAATTTTTCTTCTTTCTTTCTTCAAGTAAATTATGTCGTCAACGATTCCTATGTTTGTTCAAAGCAAGTTTTGATTGTAAAAAAGAGGAATCGCAATGCATTAAATGGTTGCATTTGCTGCAAAAACAATGTCAAAAAAAAAACAAAAAACAAAAAACAAGAACAAGTGGGCCCCGTACCTTTTTTTGATGTGTTCTGGAAAGTTAGCGACCATAAATTTTAGTTGTCGAACTTCAATTGATAGTTCATTGAATGAAGATTGGAGTTTAGTGTGTAGAGCYGCGAAAATCACAATAGTTGCGGCCAGTGAAAAAACTGCGACTATCCTCAACAACCATGGATTTTTTACGTTCCAGCAGCTACTATCGTCGTTGTTTAAATTCCGTTCAAATTCCGGTTCGTACGTCGGAGGTCTTGGCTTGGAAGCAAGGCTTTGGAAATTCGRATTCAAAGCTATCTTGGCGGTAGAATTTGKGTAGTTTACGACAAGTTTGKTTGTTTGATTCTTMCTTGACATTTTCCTCTATGCATTATCCTACAATCTCCAAGGCCTTGGAGAAATTAGCCGATAAACAAGGAAGTTAAAACGTTGGAAATCAATAACACCAGCTTTTATCGCATTTGAGGTCAATATCCTTTCGCTCTCGATGCCTATCAGCCACAAATCCAAATACTAGATAACAAGAGACCGACAAATCAAGATTTTGTCGAATCTTCCTCTAGTATCAGATCAGAGGCAGGTGGTTTGAAAATCTCTCTATCCAATTGCTCGGGCACTCCTACAGGTTTCGCTAACTCTCCCACGAACAATGACCCGACAAAACAAGTGCGACGAATTACCAAATTACACTGAAAACTCCCTTACCGTGGAAATCGGATTAACACTGAGAGACAAAAAGCATGAGCAAATTTTGGTTCGGCCAAAAATTGTTTGGCCCGTTGTATTCGCACTACTGAGATAGCAAAATCTACCGCAAACCGCTTATGTCAATCAAAATTTAATACTATATCTGCCGATAGAGATTGTTTCTGAACTCGGTACAAATCTTATTAAAAATTTGGTAAACTCCAATCTCGATGCAAGACAAACAGCTATTAGTAACTTAAATGCCTCTACGTACGTTTTTCACTGCATTCATTCTGTTACATATTTTGATATTTGACAAAATTTTGGCCTGTTTCGAAGCCGGCCGATGGTTTCAAAGAGCAAAAAATTTCGTTCACACTTGTAAATGACTCGCGTTGACAGATATTTTTGGAAAACAAACAACAATTTGGTCAACGGGCTCGAACTCTAGAATCAAAATCACGAACCTATTATTATCAGGTATTTTCCCTTCAAACCTACAAACATCATACAAAAGGGTTTACGGTTAGAGCACTTAAAGGTTCTCACCAACAATATTTAACGCCTTGATTGATCAAACACTTTAGTAATTCTAACGGCTATATCAGTTTAATTTGAGAAGCTCCCACGGACATCAACTTGGAGTTACATTTTAATGGCTTTTCTTGGACACTCAAATGGCTTCAGGGTATGTTCTTGATTGAAATGCTCTGAGGTGATACAATTTTTTCGATTTGAATTGCTATTCGTTTTATGAATTTGGTACATTTGTACAACTTAAAGCGCCTTKTACGTACAAAAGATCCTCAAGCGAGTATGTTTAAACTAACGCATAATATCACATCTAACTTTAGCTCTTACAGACGTCTCCTAATCGATCTTGTAGATTTATATATTGGTTTAAAAGAAAACTATCTTAAGAGTACTATTATTTTGAGCGTGAATAGATTAATGGCGCTTTTATATTCATTTGCCGAGAAATGTTGGAATTAAAAGTAAATTTCATGAAATCAAAATGAAGACAGAAAAAAAGGAAGTCAAATGTGAGAATAATCATTGAAACGATGTATAATCAATGAATGGAAGAGAGGCGTAGTGCGAGGGAGGAACGAATTTCTCTGGGAAACAAAAACCTATTTTCTATTGCTAATGCTAAAGTCTTACTATTGGTTGAAAGTAATACTTTAGCCGCCATGTTGGAGGAATTCAATAAATATTTTATMGTCGGTTTTAAATTCTCTGTCGTTTTATCCAACATGGCGTCCACACGTCTAAAGCTTTTTACTTGTCATCTTAGGGTTGACATGACGTATTTATCCCCAATGAATTAATAATAATAATAATAATAATAATAATAACAGAAGATTTGTTGTTGATTCTTTGAAAAACACTTCTCTGGTTGTATGTTATATTGTGGCCGCCATATTGGAGGAATTCAACAGATAGTAGTTTGATGTTGGTTTTCTCTGTTGTATCATTAAACATGGCATCTAGGGCTGACGTTTTTTGCTTGTCATCTGAGGGTTGATGTGACGTATTTATCATCAAATAAATGAAATAAAAATCAAATTTGTTGTTGATTCTTTTGTTTTATCCTCCAACATGGCGGGCGATCTAACAGCCATGTTATTTTATTTTATATTATATTATTATAATGTTTATTATTAATCTAGAATTTAATTAATCTAAGAATGCTTGCAACCCAAGGTCAAGGCGCCTTCTTAAATTCTTCAGTAATTTTCGCCTATTTCAGATGACAAAACACCGCCTTTTGTATTAATTCCTATTTTTCTATCCTCCAACATGGCGACCATATTTTTGCTCAGTTCATTCTCGTGAGCATCCTGTAACAAACCGAGAAATCCCTTGGACCGATTTCCATGTATGATGCCTTTATTTCATACTTTGACCCAATTAAATGATATTAAAAAGAGTGCAAGAGGTCTCTCTAATCCTACCTTAGCCGTGATAAACAAACTAGTCGACCGTTACAAATCCTGTATTCTTGATTGGTAACACTTGGCTCTGTCTGTGACATGCAGCCCATTAGATAATAGAAATAAACAAACTGAAAACAAAGGCGTTACCTTTGCCTCGTCATTATTCGCCGATCAGGTTTTGTTGGAATGTTTGGGCTTTGTATGAACGTGAAAAACTCATAAATCCTTGCCATGCCTTGCCGTGCCGGCGATTGTAATGTGGGGGCCGATTTTGGTCAGATAGAGCAGTGATATCACACGCTGTGTTTGGATGTCGTGTAATCCCGTACCGTGCCGTTTCGCAGTCGCGTGTCTTCACTCCCTCGTGGTCTACAAGACACTGTGGTCACCCTGTGGTTGTCTCATAGCTACTCTCCCTCCCCTCCCACGTGAAAAGGACGTAGTTTGGTTAAAAATATCAAATCAAAACAGGATGCATCTGAAATAGATTAAAGATGACGGAAGAAAAACATCTGCTGATAAATGCTGGAGGAAACAGCTTAGGTTCACGTGTCGCGTACTCACAGATACGATATACGTGCTGATATGAGTACTTACTACCGCTGATCTTTTTGACTGCAGTCTCATGCGGTAAGTGTTATGGAATCGTTGCTTGGGGAGGGGGAGGGTTGTTGTTGCGCCATCATAAAATACAACTGATCCCCTTAAAAGAGGGTTGACCGCTTTGTACAGGTTAACTAAAATAGAAGGAGGTCGCACTACGAGGATTGACCGCTTTGTACAGGTCAACTAAAATAGAAGGAGGTCGCACTACGAGGGTTGACCGCTTTGTACAGGTCAACTATAATAGGAGGAGGACGCACTAAGAGGGTTGACCGCTTTGTACAGGTCAACTAAATTAGAAAGAGGGTTGACCGCTTTGTACAGGTCAACTAAATTAGAAAGAGGGTTGACCGCTT